GTAAGTCAGTTTTCTTATCCTTCCAAGAAAATCTGGTACCAACTCACCGTCCCCTTGGGCGGGAGCCAATACAGGTCCTGATCCTCGGACCGTGCGCGTGGTAAGCGTGCCACTTGCCACTACACCACCTCCGCCTCGCAATATACCTTATGCCGGTTACCTTTTGCCTTGATTAAATCCCTTTGGCGCTTAACTAAACTTCTTTAGAGGGTTTAGAGGGTTATTTCAGTAATGATGGTATCGAAGTTCAGTATTGATGCCTTGACATTGAGAATATTTGCGATCCTAATTCCATGCCTCTGAAAATTTCATTATTTGACCTTGTCCTCGGACCAATAACTCCATGCACGCGTCAACGGCTGCCCACCGCTTTCCACTCGTGAATAAATTATAAAAAAACGAAATTGCTCACCGACGCCATGGGGAGGAACGATGAGCAGAAATACTGGACAAATATTGAAACTACTAAATTTCAAAGAATCTTGTAGACCTCAAGCGGCTTTCCTTAAGACAGGTATTCACATTTATTCACACAGTGTCACGGTCATCTTGGGCATCCGTGGCTTCCCCCCTTCCGAAGACACCTTTCACGGAGGTATCGTGGTTTGTCATTTGGCCATGGAATCGCGGCTCTAGTTTCAGTTATATATTCGCTGTCACTAAGAGCATTCTGACCTATAGCCGCAGGGCACCATTGATCCGCACCCACCCCGTCCCGATGTTCTACCTCTCGTCGTCCTTCGTCGCTCCCCTCCAACCACCATATGCATCTATATCATCCTCCATTCGTCGAGATTCTCGAAATAGGCAACAAGCACCGGTCTCAAGAGAGACAAGCGACCATTAGGACCGTTTAATAGTCACACTGGGGCCGTTCGCTTGTTCTTTTCCCATTGAGATCTCTTTTCATGAGGCATTTTCAGCTGACATCTACCAGAGCGAGTTTGAAGAGTCTCACGCTCAAGAGCTCACTTCTCAAATCACGTCCGTAATATCATTGGCATAGTGTGCTGCTAATTGCTACTAAACAAGCCGTGAGCTGGCTTATTCTCATAATTGCTTGCTGGAGCTCTGGTGGAGGGTAATTCCGCTGTACGAATTCGGTAATGAACCCGGCGCCATGTCTGTCACGGGGATGTCACCACATATAACTAGTTACCATTGAAACCTAATGTTGACGTTTGTATGACCTCAAGTTGTGATTTCAAATGTTTAGACGGCTGACTGATCAATTAACGCGACCTCCGCGGGACCTCCATGGGTCATCCTCGGGTCATCCAAGTGATCTAGATTCGCGTGCGACCTTCAATTCCATTGCGCCGTGACCCCACAAAGCAGTGTCGCAATAACAGTGTCCCAGCACCCGTCACGATACGAGTCCCCCACACACACACAACCGTGTCAACCCCATTTCTCATCCCTTTCTCTGACCCAAAGTTATGAATTTCTCCTTTCCGATAAGAAATGGCGTTGCTGATTCACCCCCGATGGGACCTTTACTGAATGGCCTTTCCGCTGAACTCCCGATTTCGACGCTGCTATCAGCTGTAATCGCACAAAGGGTGATAACACCTCAGCGATCGTGTTCATAATTTGTTTGACCTCCTGCGGGGTCGGTAATTAAACTGCGTGATAGGTTTCTTTCTCATGAAACGTTCATTTCTAACCCGTGAAATATCGTAACCATAGTATCTTCTCCCACCCCACTGTCGCACTCCGTTCATATTTCTCCTAGTTCTGTCTCCTCGTACCTTTGTTTTCGGAACCAAGGGTTAGGATCTCGCAGGTGGACGGGTAGACCTCACCCATGTACCTGGTAGGGAGGGACAACAACTTTTCAGTACCCTTATTAAGAAAACCCCAGTTCTAACTCCTTCAATTACTTAAACTCGCTGCCTTTTCTTTTTTCTTTTTCAGTTTTTCTTTCGACTAACAAAAGTCCTCTTTATTTCTGATTGTACCATCTGGCTACTTATCAGGGCACATTGTTGCTGTGGATTCCTTTAACGGAAGTGGGTCGTATTTGGCCGCTGGGGAGGGGGTCCTATTTACCCTCTGACCTTCTGAGAGAGCTCGCTGTCTTTTCGTGGTTTTTTTTTCCATGTGCACTATATACCCCCGCTCGACATTAGGAGGGAGCCAGGGAGGTCGTACAAGCCCCCTTAAAAAAAGGGGGGGAGTCGTAAGGACTCGAATAGAATCCCCATTCAATGATGTATCTTGCAACTTATTTTCCGAGTCCCTTTCCTAGGAGTGTATGGCGCACACTAGGATGTAAGCCAATAGACGATTATAGGAGTAAAGGAGCTGGAATAGGACCTTTCCTCAGAACATTTGATTGAGCGAAATAAAAAGTACGTGGTACTAGTAGTGAGACGGAGGTGGTCTAGTGGTAGGCTGGCTCGTTCACCATGCGCACGGTCCGGGGATCAAATCCTGTGTGACTCGCGCCCGGGCCAACCAAGCCTTCTACCCGTATATTGGTACTGCATTCGTCTGGGAAGAGAAAAACACTGACTTGTACATCGGCTGGCCCCGCAAGTCATTGTATAGGCCACATCGCATTCAATAAGCCACTACGATTCTGAATGGAAGTAGAATGCGTGCCGCATCCCACAAAGGGATTGATCAACGGCGAAGGCTTTCTTTATCCTTTTGGTACTCGTAATCAAAGGCTTATGATTCGATTGTATTTCATACTCTTTATTACCTTTATTAATTTATTTTTAAGGAATTTTGGTTCGTTCAGTTGATCCACCAAATGTGTTTGTTTGTCTCGCGATCGCTTTGCACTTGGAAATTCCTTCGTTCTGTTGCAGGCTGCTGCCGCTCGCAATCACCTGCTCCAGAACCACGGCGCCGTTCCGGCGGTGATGCCGAATCTCTTGCAGCATATCTCTGCTCTTCGGAATGCCCAGGTGAGAGAATTGGTCGCCATGAAGATCATCTCCATTTCCTTCTGGAGGAACGTTACTAACCATTACTCATTACTCAGTCTCTCAATTCGAACTAAACTTTGATCCCAAATGTTTTCCTATCATCCATTAGCTCTCAAACATTTCGTAGCAGTTCCTCTTTGCTTGCTTACAACCGGCTATTGCAATGTTTTACGGTCGGATCGCTATCGGCGAGGTATAGTGCGGGCGGTCGTCGCTCGGTTGATCGGCCGGCCACTCGTCAAGCGATGACAATACGTCATCAAGAAGGAAGAAGCCGGCTAAGGTCAGCAACGCAGCAGATCCGCGAGCTGACCGCGACGTTAGCCCTTCGAAACCGGTTCCCATAAGCACTCGATAATTGGGCTGTGCTTGACCGCGGGCAGTCCCGCTTACGCCCTCACAAGCAACAAGTTTTGGGACGCCGTACGATCCCCCCGAAAGCACGCGCACGGTCGTCCTTGGAATTGCGTTCTCGGGGATCCACAAAGATGATCTCAGATATTGCAGATACAACTAGTAGAAGCCATGCAATTGCCACAGTGCGAAAAGTCATAAGGTGATACTATGGAGGATGGCGGAAGGTCGTCGCGTGGTCGTGTGTGCGTGAAACCAGTTCTGGCCAAGTGCCCATGCCATGACGATGGCCTCCACCCAGATCATTCCGCGTCACATCCACCTGCTTCGCACCAGCCGGCTGGCTGGCCGGCTGCCTCCTGCCGTCCGTCCTCGCGTGCGTGTGTCACACTCCCTCCCGGGTGAGGTCATCGTTGTTTTGCGGGAGAGGGGCGCGCTCGCCCTCAACTCCGCCCCCTAATGATTCGAACGCTGGTAATAATAATCGCTGGCAGTCAGCTGGATTTTCGCCAACTTTGTATATTCTCAATATATCCCCTATGGGCTCCCCGAACACCCCGATGATGATCGCGTCCATTTCCGTGTCAATGCGAGCGTACGTGTGAGAGAGTGGTGTGTGCTGTTATTGATGTGGGAGCTCGTTGTCGTCGAACGTCGCATTGCATGAAAAATTTTGACGGCTCCTGGTCGATGGTAGTGAATAGGCTGTTGGCGCGTGATGATCGCCTCTATCAGACCTTTTATCAGTGCCCTTGTTTGACCCTTGGTTTGCTTCATTTTCTCTTTGCAACTCACTCACCTTCATAGAGGCTGAGGGTCATCGTGATCGAAACCATTCATCACATTGGCGACAATTCAAAGATCGGTCCCTTATTTTGCCAGGGTGAGATTGCCCAAAGTTTTCTCAGGTGTGGCATAGTTTTTGCTGACGAATGCCACCCATGGCGCTTCGCACCTTCACTCGTTATTCAGTGGTTCCCATCGATTGTCTGGCCTTTGACCTTCTCGGCTGCCTCCATTTCCCTCTTTACGCTGCTCCTCCACTACCTTCTCTCGTGTTCTGTCGCTCCCTTCCCTCCTCACTCAAGTGTACGCTTTCAGTCTTCTCAGATTTCCAAGGCGCGCCCCTGTAGTGCTGGTTAATTGGAGACCTTTTTGAGACTCATCCGCCAATGAAAATTCTCTCATTTCATCCTTTCATTCAACACGATGCTTTTACATTTGGGGTCACGGGGATAGGCATGTTATGGATGGGAATACATATGGAAAATTCTACTTTTTCCGAGTATTTTTTTTCAAATTTTTTCCTACGGAACGTCAGCCAAAGTTGCCTTTGTTTTTTTGTGAGGTTCCTGGAATACTCGATTCAGAGTTCCTGAAATGGCTTCTATCGTAATCGCTAATCCAAAGGGCACTAAATCGATGGGCACGTTCACCGCGTTCTCATGACGTCGCCGTCTGCTTACAAGTCCTTTCGCATTCACCGTTCGCGCGCGCTGACCCTGGAGAGTAAAGGACAGGGGGCGCCCTGAAAAGAAGCCCCTTGACAACCTCCGGTGTATTTTTCATCTTATTACTTCTTGCTCCATTCTTACCAATGCAAAATGAACATATATGGCAATCCGCGCAGTTCGGCCACGGGGGAGGCATTTTGCACTTTTGCTGCTTCACCACTTCCGGTTTACAAGTCTTACACTTGTAAAACCTGTGAACTCTTGTCGAACTGGAGCAGGCACCGTGGTAAAACCTGTCAACTCTTGTAAGCTCATGGAACAGATCTCTGAATGGCTCGATAAGTCGATAGGAAGTTGCAAAAGTACAAGATGCCTTCCACCCTCGCCCAAGTGCCCATGGCAGTTTTTAGTATTTTTGTATTCTGTAGTATTTATGCCTTTGCTTAGCAGAGACTATTTCCGGAGTATTGTGGCACGTTTAAGTGATTGAAAACCTTGCTTTTCAGTTGGCAAATGCGGGCGTGATGTCCGGAGTGCGGGTTGGAAGTCCCCAGCGGGCCGACTCGATCTCATCGCGAGCAGGAGGAGAAGCAGGTAGTGCTGGTGGAGAATTGTGTGTCGTCTGTGGTGACAAGGCCAGTGGACGGCACTACGGCGCCGTATCCTGTGAAGGTTGTAAAGGGTTCTTCAAGAGATCCATCAGAAAGCAGGTAAGCAACAGGTTTCTCATCTTCTCTTAGATATCCCGCGTAGCGCTCTTTCATCTCCTGTGCTTAGCCAGCGTCATCGACGAGATTGTTACTCTGACAACGCAAAGGTCGCCCGAGGGCATAATACCCATAGAGTCGGCAAATGAACTTGTGCACCGCTTACGCAAGTAAATGATGCTAATAAGCGTGTATTACTGAGAAATTAGTACTGATTGATTTCCTCTATTAACCGTGCCAAAAGTTCACTTTCAGATCGGCTACATGTGTCGTGGAGCTAAAGACTGTCCGGTGACGAAGTTTCATCGGAATCGATGTCAGTATTGCCGACTGAAGAAGTGCCTCTCAATGGGAATGCGCAGTGAGTGTGAGTAGCACCGTACATGTTGGTTAAGCCGTCTTTTCCTTGGTGCCCCTAATCGTTCACGTCGACCCCCTACTTTCCTCCTCTGATACGATCCCTCCCAATTCCCCCCTCTGATACGTCCCCCATCCTCACCTACCTACGTTTTTTCCCTAGATTTTCCCAACTTCCTACACTTTTTCCAGTTTTTCGGAATTTCCCCGAGATTTTGCTGCGGGGCGGGGGGGGGGGATTGTTAGCAACTAACTACTGTTTTCAACCATCAGAAATAGTAGTTGCACAGAACTTTGGCAGAGTCACCTAAAAGCGGACCCCGTAATATACGACGACCTCCCTCTAGCAACCAAATACGACCCCACACTGGGGATTCCTAAACGTACGACGTGGTCTGCCCCTGACATGTCGACCTCCTCTCCTTCGATATCGTTATCACTTGGCCCGTGTGTCATCAACTAGGCTCTAATCCGACGTTCCCCTCCTCATGCTATTACAGACCGTATCCCGGCCGGTGACTATGGTAACCCCGAGCATGATTCTGTAGAGCAAAACAGGGCCGATCGATTTTACGACGGCCATCCATAGCTATTCTAATTAGCAGTCTGCATGTCACGAATAACAATTATCGCCCCACCCTGCCATGCAAGGCGCACACGTCCGGCCGGGCTGCTGGCCGCCCCCGTATGTCGCTGCTGATGTGAATCCGGGCAGGTAGTCGACCCGGACTAGTGTCACAAATCACCGCTTATACGAATCGATATGACGTTCGAGTAGAGTTTATTTCAGCTGTTCAAGCCGAGCGACGTCCTGTGCAGCAGATCTGTGCCGACAGTCCGCCCACCATGGTACAGAGTCACAATGCCTCGGCTAACGCTACGGTGAGCAGTACCATCACTTGTAGCAAGAACCGTAGGGATATCAGTCAGACTTCGAGTCTTACACTTATATAAATCTGAATGTAAGTGTAGTGTGTGTGGCCAGTGCACGTCCTACGTTGGGGAATTCATAGCGGGAGTGAGGGTGTACTTGATTGTTGGAGGAAGGGGGTCGTATTGGTCTGACAAGGTTCTTGACAGTCGATTTTTCCTGTTTCACGGGAGCTATCCACAACCCTGTCAGTAGCCTGCGGTCTAGCTATAGCCTGTAAATCGTCGGGTAAACTCTGGTCAAACTTGTCAAAATGACTGGTCAGAAGCTGGAAAAAAATGGATAAATGGCGTTTCAGTGACACTAGGTACCATTCGACAGGCTTGACAGGAAATTTACAGGGCTCGACAGGAGTTTCCAGGGTACTTGACATGCATTTAGAGGACATGCAGGGTGAGACACGACGGTGAAAGTCAAAAGAAAAACAGAGAGAGACACACATTGAAAAAGTTCACAGGTGTGCCCCCTCCTCGAGGTATTATCACCGTGTAAACTACTGCTTTTGAGTAGAAAAACTGACTTTTCATCCTTTAAAATAAGTTTCTGGTCGGATCAGTCTACTGCGCGATTTGCGGATAGCTTTCTTTAGTCTGGTGCTGAAAGGGATCAACATGCACCAGACGGGGTGAAGAATTCAGAACTTGCAGGATGAAAAGGGGATGGTATTGGAGGAGGTACCAGTGCCAGAAGTTTACTAACTTTTTGCTACACCTTTTTTTCCACTTTAGACCAAAATTACCAGGAAGCAAACGTCTGATCCCAAACGAGACTTGACAAGACGGTATGGCTGTTCGTTTCACCAGATTAATGTGTGAGTGCCGTACTACGGCATAGGACTAGTACCGGACATAGTCAACTAGGGTAAAAGGCTGCCCTGGTGGCGTAGCGGATAGAGCAGTCCTTCGCAAAAATGAGTTGTGGGTTCAAAGGTCGCCTGGGGTCACTGCCCTTGCCCGTCACTCTTGTGATAACTGTCGGAGCGCGAACTGTGGCGATTAAGCAGCTGGCTTCCATAAAACAGTTATGAGAGGTTCTCAAATTGCCTGATGGGTTTTCGCTGAGGAGATTAAAATGGGTGGTGTGCAATGTAGAGGGGAGGTGGTGGAATGGAAGCTCAGTGATTGAACAAGCACAGCATTGATTTGCACCCTAGTTGGGCGTAGTTCGGCGACGGGGGGGGGGCGATGTTCGACGTATTATTGCTTCCTTAAGTTCCGGTTACAAACCGTCTCACTTTTGGCGAAACTTGTGATACTCTGTGCGATAGCTTGGATCCGAAGGGTGCGCTAAATGCTATCATGTAAAACCTGTGTTCGACGAATGAGGCGTCAGAGCATAGTCGACATCGTGTCGTTGATAAGTAGAAAAAGTGCAAAATGCCTCCATCCCCGTCGCCGAATTGCACCCCCTAGTTGTGACGGATTTTTCTTAGGAAGCAAGAGCCAAGTCCTATTGTCCTTTTTTCATTCCGTACGTCCAAGATCTCAGTAAATTCAGGTATATAAATCTGTAAAAATGTAAACGGACACCTAATCAGCATTCATACAAAAAAATATGGTGCAGCAAAGAGTCTGTTCCAGACACCAGAATCCAAAATTTTTGGGGTTTTTTTGCGGAACTAAAAAAGTATGGGTGAAATCGCTACTCAAATCCGGTAGTCTTGGGTTTTAGCTGCATAGAAAAAGGGATACGGTGTTATTGGCCGATACGAGGGCGAGAGATGGTTTTCTATACCTTTGTAGCAGTGGTAGTAACAGGAGCCTTACAAGGGCTTTCGTCTCCCCCCCCTCAAGAGGGCCAACAGCAACTTTGCGCATAAGCTTGGGGACTGAAACCCTCGCTTTCGCTGGCTCAATCAGCTAGTGGCAATATGCCTGGAATTGGAGTTTCTTTAGCAAAATAGCATAGCAAGAATTTCTCAAAAGGAAGCATCACATGATCAGAAAGTTACCCGTCACTCAGTTTGGCATTTTGCCCAATTTATGAGAAGTGTTTTGGAAGGGCCGTCATGCGATAAGCCATACATACTTAGGGACTACCTGTGGCCTACATACCTTACCATTGTCGTGACATTGCGTTGCGACTATGGCAGAGGAAATTTTCTTGGACTGCAATAAAATCTGACTACTCCCGCTCTGTGATTTGAGATATGTGAACGAAGAAACTTTGAAGTGGAATACCAGCCGCGGCCTGGAGGGGTAGTTGCAGTGGAGGAGCGCCTTCTGGGGTTGGGTGGAGAGGATCTCCGGCCTAACACTTGTGAGCTGGCAGAGGAACTTGGGTATTGTCACGTGGCCTTGGATAAAAAATGGAGATATGACGATGGATACCGCATGATCTCAGCATCCACTAGCTGCAGGTGTACAGGGGTGCATGCGTGATAAACCTTTCGGCGAAAATTTTCTAGGTTCGTCAACTTCGTCACAGGTGGCGAAAAGTGGGCGGGCAAAAGTGTTAGTTAATGCTTATTGCCTGGTGGACCCGCACAGGAGTCATTCAGCGAGAGCTCATACCTACTGTTACTTGCAGTGTCTACCGCAAGCAGTTGAGCTGCGTTGAAGCAGCCCTTCCTGGAGACTAAGGCAAGATCTTGTCCCCTCCCGAGGTTCGCGTCCGCGTTGCGAAGGAGATTCGGAAAAAACTCCAGTGTCTAGTATACCATGTTCTGGCCCAGTTATGTCCCCACTGGACCTAGCCCCTATATGTAGACTACTTTCAGTCTCTTACCCTGTTCCAGGAACCCTGTTCATTCCCAGGAAAAACAGTTCGACAGTGGGGAGCAACACGAATGAAGCGTCGGCGGACTTTTTTTCTATCAAAACCCCAGGAATTCAGTCGAACTGGCATCTGCAAATTACCCGATAAGTGGCAATATGTTGGTAGACAATAATGGTGCATGTGGTCATTAGTTGCTGAATATATTAAAAAGTAGAATTAAATCCGGAAAATTAAAATTAAAAATTTGCAAAAGTTGAGAAAAACTTTAGACCATAAATATGGCATTTTTGAGTGCTGCGTCTATTGGACGTGATTTTTCATGGAAATTTTGTACGGTCCGCCTCTGAGGGGTGTTTTGCTAGTGGAAATCGAAGTGGAAACCTGTAATCTCCTCTCGTACCTCATAAGGCGAAAAGCACTAAGGCTCTGTACATACACCTTTCATTGACAAGGGAGGTAATTGGGTGGTGTTCGCTTTTCAGATCGGGTCGGATTCTATAGAGGTTCATAAGAGGACCAAAACAGATCATTTCTGAAGCGCTCTTCGGGAACGCTGCGAAAAAAAAATCCTCGAAAAAAATGCGCATCAAGTACTCCACTTGTACGCCTGTCTGATAACTGAGTACATATAGTTCAAAGGCACGTTCCGCGATAAGAAGTATGGGTAACTGCGTAGAAATATGGAAGAGTAGTTGCCATGTTACCCGTTTGTGAAGGCAAATGCCTGAGGGAACGTCGGAAACGCATTAATAGGCCCCTCCAGCCTCGCTCAAGTGTATGGATGGAAGGCCAAAAGACTGCGTGTTCGTACGAGTCCAGTCGGCTGATGCCTTGCAATGGACCCTGTGAACCCACAAGAGGCAGTGGAGCATCCATTTCATGCTACTTAGCCGGTAGCATCGTTTTTATTAGCTGGAAGGCGGACTCTGAAGACGGAGTCACTAGAAAAAGAGAGGTGTCACTGGAGTGACTTTGAG